TCCCTGAGTAATGGTTCTCTGTCCCTAAGTAACTTCTCTCTGTCCCCAATTCTCGTTTCTGTGGCCCTAACTCTGTCCCTGTCCCTAGTACAGAGCGGTCTGCCTCTGTTCAATGACTGCAGGCAAATGAAGATTTCCAAAATGGCCGCTATATATACCTCGACCATTACACAGTGCTGGCTGGCTGGCTGCTGATTGGCTGATGCGATCACATGTCGTTGAGGAATGCATTATGGGGCAGCGCGCCTTGTCTGCGCGCCTTCCCCGACATCCCCGCTCCGTCGCCGCACATGTCAGCCGCCATTTTCGGAAAAATTTCGATTCGCGCGTCCGAATTAGGCTGTTTTTCGGATTCGGCACGAATCGAAATTTTTCCGATATTCGACTCGAATTCCACTTCGGATACTTCGATTCGCTCATCTCTACTACCAATGCTATTTACTAGCTTTAGATAAGCTCCATATCCTAATTACAATTCAGTGCAATGTAGCCAATACCTTATCTGTGATGCTCGCTTGTAGCTAGGGTGAGCCTGGCAGTATCTAAACGTCAGCAAAGCCAAAGTCTGCTCCAGGACTTCAGAAAGGATCTTCTGTGCACTAACTGGTGAAACAATAGTCCATAAATCATGACGAAGTCCACAGCAGAAATAATGCCACATCTGAATGGAAAATGAACATCGCTCTCCCTAAAAATAAAAAAGTAAAAAATAAGGACATTATGCTAAAATTGAAGTGCATTTTGTCTTTTATCCAATCTAGTTATCTTTTAAGCGCTTCCATTTTGAAAAAAGAAAAGAAAAGCAATGATAAATACAGAAATGCCATATTATAATGTATTTAGAAACAACTTGTTCAATGCCACCTATCAGTCAAGCTCAATATTAAAGCAAATGAACACAAAGGCCTATTTGTAAATAGTTTCACACGACTTTCACCTAGGATTCACACATTTTTAGGACTGAATCAAATTAGATAAATATTCAAATCTTGAGTGACAGCTGTGCAAGTCTGGAGCGAAAAACATTTATTAATAGACCTTTTAGTGTACATAGCAACCCTGTTTTGAAATGACATTCCACTGATAACTAATATTTTATTTTTGTACTATAAAAGCCTAAAGTAAACCCATGTGGTGTTCACAAAATATATCTAAAAAGCAGATTTGTTCATTTCTTAAAAAAATGCACAAACCAACCATCTATTGTGACAATCAACACTAATAATATGCTGTCATTTTTGTTTTTTTGTTCATTTACTGCTTAACAAAGAGCTTTTATAATTGCCAGATATTCTACACAAGCTCCCTCTCTACAACTGCATTCCAATGGCCAATGGCTGCAGGTCAAACCAGGGATTCTGTGGAGATTGCTGCTATTGAAATGCTGAGCTGAATGTGGGGCTAAGTCGGCTAAGATGGCTTCTCTCAGAGCTGGTGGTTCTCACCCATCCAGCTTCCGTTTAATGCTGTTAACGTTGTTTGGCGAATTGTTTGAAGTATGATATAAAGCAGTGGTGGTGTGTATGCTTCTCCCTACATTAAATGTTCATACATCATCATCATATATTACACTTTCTGTACTGCTATTCCATCTATGGTGAAGCAACTATTACATATATTTATATATTTTTTTAGTATTGCTGGACACTTATTTAGTTTGAATCCATTTAAGCTGGAACAATTAATACATACATTAATTTGTGTGTGAGTGTGGACTAAGAATATACAACATATAAAGACAGTGATAACCCCCATAAAATTTACAAAACACACATGAAAATGATAGTATTGAAGAAAATCCATTCACAATGTGTTATTAGATACACAACATTTCCTCAGTGATATGTACAACATCAAATACCACCGATTCCCTTTAAAATCCACCTACTTCCTGATTGAGGTGCGCTCCGCCCTAAATGCTACATCCCTCTGAGATGGAGAAAAGTCAGATTGCACAATGCCAAGGCCTTTGCGGACAGCAGCAAAGAGCTTTTCAACATTACCAAGCATATTGCCTGAAGCTCCCTCCTCAACATAATGGCTATCTGGGAAAGAAAAAGCTTTTGCAGCTTTCTTCAATACTACCTCAATTTTATCTTTAATCCTTTCTGTATCAGCGCCCTCTAGGACTTGCATTTTGGAATATGTTTCAGGTTGAGAAAAAGGAGTAGAAGAGGCATGGCATTTTTGAGCCCTTTACAAATAAAGATGTAGTAAGACCATTATCTGTTCAAGGAATTGTGCATAAAATGGAGAAAATTCTGCTTTTGTCAGGTAGACCACATGTTGTGAGCCTGAAATAGAGCTAGAATCAGATGTAAACCGCATCTTGCTCTGTTGCAAGGACACATCACTGGCAGTTTGCAGGCCTTTGGCAGAGTGAATGTTCATCTGTGATTTTGATTTGGCTCCATTCTGCCTGGACTGTGCCATTGCTATAAGTGAGGGTATTTACCTGGGAGTACTCACAGAGAGTAGTGCAGGAAATATGGTAAGCGTGTCCTTTCTGTAACAAAAGCTCTTGGCAAAAAAAGTGGGAGGAAGCACCTGAGTACCCTATAATCTGGGTGGAAGTGGCGTTAAATCATGTGGCCAGCGGTATGCTGTATTACCTGGTCATCCACCTGAGACTGAGCTCTGAGTGGTTAAAATTTAGTTTCAAGTTTGAGAAATATGCAACGTGAAGTGAATACATTCCAAACATTGCCAAGCTTTACAGTAATGGTCAGAGATACATGGTAACCCTACCTGTCCACAACACTGGACTATATATAAAGTCCAGGCTTTGCCTGTCATTGTGGACATGCCCTCGAATGCGTCTTCAGGTACTGGTTCCATAGCGATGGACCACGGCCCTGAACCTGTATAGCAACCTGCAGCTGACTCAACGCATTGCACTAAATGCCAAGTTGCATGCCAGAGCAGGATCCAATGTCTGAAGCAACATTACAGGCCATACCCACAACGTGAAATTTGGGTATCACTCCAAAGGTTTTACAGAGGTTGTACCAATCTGGATACACTACTTTGGTGTAGGCATTAGAACACAGTGAAGTGCTGACTGAAGAATTTGAGGAAAATAGTAAACTAGTAAAGCCGATTTCTCTGCGAAGGTAAATAGGTCCATCACCTTCAGACACTAACAAAAAACTGGGGATTCATGGAGTGGGGTAGGGTTATAGGCTAGGCATCTGAAGGGGGGGGGGGGTGCCCTCAAAAGCTTGTCAGTGTTCATTCACCTGGACCCATGGTGTATGAATATGTTGCCTGTGTCCTGTACTGTATGATTAAGATATCCATATGAGACACTTCTCAAATAATTCAGAGTTCAATAACAGATGCATCTGACCTGAAATTAGTCTCCTTTTGATGTGCATTCGACTTTCTTCTAAGTTGCATCAATATATTTCAAACTGCTATTACTAGACAGACATTTAGGCCTGACTCACAATAGTGTGATTTCAGATGTGACTTGGAACACACAAAATTGCATGACAATAGAAATCCCTTTGATTTCAAAGGTGCCAATTCACATCAATGCAAGTGTACCATCCAAACGCACACGTTCCTGCATTGAAAAAATAGCTGTGTGTATAAGTGGGTGCTGCAGCGATTGTCGGTTGGAACCAAACAGAATCAGCAAGGGAGACTGTCACCAGCACACCGAGGATCAGCAATATGGGTCCAAAAGTTTTAATGAATGATCACATAGTTACAGCAAGGCAACGTTTCGGAGTCTCGCAGGACCCCTTCAACAGGCATGTGATGAAGAGGTCCTGTGAGACTCCATAATGCTGCCTTGCTGTAACTTTGTGATTGTTCATTAAAACTTTTGGACCCATAGTGGTGATCCTCGGTGTGCTGGTGACATTCTCCTTTGGTAGTTCACATCAATGCAACGCAACTGTGATACAACTTTGGGGAGATATAGGTGCCAATTTGGTGTTATGCAGCCCAATTTTGTGCTTTCAGTGTAAATGCACCAAAAACGCATGTAAATCTCAAATACATGCATTCTTAATTTGTTTTTGGCAGAGTTTTGTATAGTCTCCTTCAAAAAAAAACACATCTGCATCAAAAAACGCACTGCAAAATCATACTAAAAATTGGATCACAGCTGCACTAGCTTGAACCTTGCCTTAGCGACACCTAGATTGGCATACTAGGTAAGAATCTAAAGAAAAAAGTCACTGTTCGAAAACATTCTTATTATCTAGAGTTTCCACACAGAAATATTATCTTGCTTCATTCTGCCTTCCCATCTCTATTCTAATTTTCTAATTTTATTGTTACTGATTTATTATACCCTAGATTACGGAAGTTGTTCTATTTCTTATCTGAAATTTTGGGCTTCATAAAATGAAGGAAGAAAAAAAGCTAGCAAGATGTGGGTGCACAACTGTTAAACTTGACCCGGTGATGCCTTTTTAACAGAAACATTATTTGAGTTGTTCAGGCAACCACATTTGTGTAGATTCATTAGCATTACTAATGGACTTTTATGAACTTCTTCCAGTGTATTATGAAAGGGCAGAGGAATAAAATTAAGCACACAACTTCACTCACATAAATATGTATTCATGTGGGAGCACAGGCCACAGAACATTTTTAAGATGTGTCAAGACGTTTCACCTATTACATACGCTAAAACTGATTTTTTTTACGACTTTATGAGGAATTGGCAGATGTTCTAATAGATTAAGATGACCTCATTCTTCTTCCTGACCAGATCAGAAGATTAGTGTAATTTCCGGGACTTCTTAAATAAAATCAGCCCATGCTATTATGCTGAGAATAATGCATTCTAATATGAACAGAGATTCATCAATAAAGATTTTAGATTTTATTCAGCTCTAGGTTTACTCCGCAGCTCATGATCAAACATGCAAGCCCTATTACTGAGATAGTTATTTCCTTACCATTTATCTGTTTCAGACTGCAATGCTTATGAATTTTGCTTGGATATATTATGACAGGTCACAGTGACCTGTATTTATTATAACACGTGCGGTCTTCAAGTTCTGTTAGTCTGCAAAAATACAGCCTTGCATTTCACTAATTACACATGGCCAGTTGTCCTGATTTTTATATATATATCCACATCATTAGTTCCAAAGGCCTGTAACTCTTGAAAAAATATTTGAATAATTATGTGTTCTTGGGAACGTTCAAAAAGGCAGTGTAGTTTGGAATTGATCAACGATGCACTCTGCTGTGTCAGTTATTAAATTAGAAAAATAGTAGGCCTTATTTATCAAGGTAAGAAGTGACTCAGGCACCTCACATTGCCTTATATCAACAAATCAGTTTGAAATCTGCATTAAAAAATTACATCAGAAAAATTTAACTTTGAATTTGGCTGCTGTGGAGCATTAAAGACTGTCTTACACAGTTCTCTTCTAGACATTCGGATGAAAGATTAATCCCCTTATAAGATAATTTCTTACTGCTTTTGGATTAAAACACAAAGAGGTGGATTTACTGAAGGCAAATAGACTGTGCGAGAGCAGTTGCACTTGATTTTCCCAGAGATTTGTACATGTATTCAAATGTGGATCATCCAATCATGTCAAAGCATGTACAAGCAAAAATGCTGGTTTTTTTTTACTTTCCTTGCACCTGATTTGGTATTGTTTACAAAGTGAAGCTGTACCAAATTTACTAAGCTCTGTGAAAAATAGTGCAACT